TTAGGTCCTTTGGAATTCACAGGATATTGTATGATTCGGGCTGATAAAGCAGCGCTGTCTGATCTGAGATGGCCTTGCTCCCGACTTTTTCATTGCTGTATTTCTGCACCTTAGCTCGAGATAGTCAAGGGGAAATAAGTGTTTTCTGCAAATGAGAAGACTGGGTCTACTCTGCCGTCCTACCACGTAACAGCACGTTTCAGCAATCATTTCTTTAAATTGTGCATCTCGGTGGAGCAGGCAGTGGGTCTGGCGTAGAAAGAGCAGAGGCTGAGAGGCAGGGAGCAGAGTGTGTGTGAGTTGAGGGAATGTGTGTGGAGTAGTTATACGGATCATATCTGGAAGAGAAAACGTATGTTGATGACACGTGTGGCAAAGCACCACCCATCTAGTATTGCCTCTAAGGAGTAACCAAAGAATAAGTGCCAAATTAACAAATAATTTAACTATCATCTATATAGCTTCAAGAATTATATTTCATACTTTCCCGCCTTTCTGCAAAGAACGTACTAAACGCAATCGAAGGGTTTTTTGCTGCCTTGGCCCATTTGTTGTTTATTACTCATGTACTGAACTGAATTTCATGGACGCCCAGAGAGGATGCGACAAGGGCGTAGGTCTCTTGTGCCCACACAACTCCCGTGTCCATTGCAGCATCTGGGTTTTTCCCCGAATGCACACTGTCTGTCACTCATCATCTCCACTTGCTGTCAGGAACCCTGGTCGACTTCGGCTCCTTTCCTCCTCCCTCCGTGTGCCACCTCCGACTTTTGGTGAGCCAGGAAGGCAGACACCCAAACTTGCTGAAATCGTGTCTTATAAGTCTCCGTATAAACCGAGGAGGGGCATGCATGAGCTTTAGAGCAGGGCCTTGAGGGCGCTTCCGTAGGTCGTGCAGATGACTTGATTCTTTGCCAGGATTCGATGAGTTTGGTTTGCTGGAAGAGTGAGTTCTGAATACCGAAGGCTTTTCCATATACAATTCATACAATGAATTCATACAACGAGATGTCTGCTGACCTGCTTGGCCTGGTCCGATGGATGGACAAGCACTATTGGGAGCAGATAAGTAGGCCAGGCAGTTTGGGGAGCTCTAGCTCTTTTCTCTAGCGAGCCCGATGCCAGTGCAAGAGAGAGGTAACTTGCTCCCACGGGCCCAAAGTTTCCCACGCACGCATCGAGTTTCCCACCAGGTGCCAGAGGGTCATTTACTTGCTGGCAAGACTGAGTAGACACTGTAGAAGGATTTTTTTTCTTTTTCTTTGCTATTGTTTGAGCTGCTTGGAATGTGGTGTCAGTGAAATAAACATTGAGAGTTCAGTGCATAACAGAACAGACGGTTATTTTCTCTTGGGGGGAAGAAAAAAGATGTGTTTCCTGGCTGTGGCTGCATTGTAAACCCAACACAGTCAGCTTGCAAAGTGTGCTGTTGATCAGAGGGTGGACCGAGGCTGATGGGGGCTGGTTCTCTCTCACCTGGCGGGGGCGGGGGGGTGGTGTCTGTCCCCTGACGGGGAGGTCAGAGTGCAGCACGTCTCCACACGTGTGGTCTGAGGACACTCCCAGGAGCCTGAGCACGCAAAGTGCACAGAGACAACCCTCACAGAGTAGGCCGGGGGCAGGGCTTGACCTTGAAGTGTCCCCAGATACAGGTCAGCCAGGCCAGCAATGATAGATAACACCCGACCAGGAAACTTATAAACCATGGCTGGCATTTCCCATCTTTTATTTTGGGGGGTTTATATAAGAACAGTTCTGTTTCAGCCACCTGGGGCAGCACATTTAATTTCCAGAGCAGTGGTGGGACTGGTGAAGCATGGACATTTGCAAGGCAAGAGCAGAGGGTCACGTGGGGTGGGTCGAGCCAGCGGCTCTCCTGAGGAAAGCCCAGCCATCGGGACAACCGAACTTTCTGCTCCACGAGCTCTGAGTGGCAGCCTTTTTAATGGTTTTGCTGGAGCTCGGCTCTTGCTCCTGCAAACTCAGCAGAGCCCGCCCAGGGGAACAGTCTGAGTTGGGAAGGGAAGGCTGGCCCGCCAAGTCTGTTGTTTGAAATAATAAAAAGCAAAACTGGCCGGTTTATTTATTTTTCTAAACAATAGAATTTCCCACCACCCTCGCTCGCTAAGCACCACTCCCCTTTCCTTCTAATCACCCTGTCTTGCTTTTCCTAGAGGTTATCAGGACCACATCCACCTCTTGGGCAGAGGCCCAGCCATGAAAAACTCTGGGGCTGCAGGAGGATTTTGCAGGAAGTTTTGTGAGCTACTGAAAGCAGGGGTTAGAATAATGGACATCATACTGTTGCTATAAGTAATTACAGAGTTGGCTTCTCCGAGCCCTGTAATAATCTCCTATGTGTATCAAGGGCCTTGCGGAGTTCTTTGCAATGTGACAAGTGACTTGAGGAGGGTGGGCAGAAGGGGACTTGGGGGTTTGCTGAGAGTGAGGAAGTTTACTGTGGGTTTCAGGGGTCCAGGAGCTAGACTGCAGCTATCCATGGGCTGCCCTCAAAATTACTGATTTTTTGTTTTGTTTGAAAGGTATGGGTCCCCATCATTTGCACCCTTGCCTCTAATAATGACCATAATTTCACTCCTTTAGTATACACATCCCATGAGGCAGGGGAAAAGGAGGTGAGGAGAGTGCCAATTTGGGTGTCTTTTATGTTTCGGGTGTGTGTGTGTGTGTGTGTGTGTGTGTGTGTGTGTGTTACTGCTGGCATCAGCAGCCTTTCCCGTGGCATGCGTTATAGGCATGTGCTGTTAAGAAATACAGCAAAGAAATGCTACAGTCATCTAGAGGTGCCTAGGAACTTTAAAATAACCCACGGACTGTTAAAATTTCAAAGACAGATAAAAATCTAAAAGCACACACCACCCTGATTTACTTTAAGGTGTTTGTAAAATCCTAAAACTTTTGACCCAAGTTGAGGTGATGAGGTCAGTGTCGCCCCCAGAAGGAAAAGACCTCTTCGCTTAGCTATTTGGCCAGAACACGCCCCTCCCTCTTTCCCTTCTTTCCTGCCACTAGTGGTCATATTTTACGGCTGCTGTTCAGCCATGAATTATTGCCTGACATTAGTGGGCGAGACTGATGTTCCTCGTGAACCAAAACATCATAAACTTCCACTTGAGGTGTGCACGCTCCTTTCGTTTTGCAATTGTGTCTTTCCTGGGTGTTTTGCAAGGTAAATTGTTCACACCTAAGGGGTTGAGCACTTTGCGGACGTTGGTGAACCAGAAGTCTGGCTGGCCCCGATATTGCTTTCTAGTAGGATATTCACTGTGTGTGTGCATGTGCGTGTGCATGTGCGTGTGTGTACGCGCGTTTGTGTATACAAACCCCAGCATACCCTCCTCTCGATAGAAATTGGGTGTGTGTCAGCATGGAGAATTCATAGGAGTGGGCGACACAAAAATCATTTTTATTGGGAGGTGTCACGCAGTTTAATCTTCCTAATTTATTTTTTCTTGAACCTATTTTGGAATCGATTTGCTTGTGTTCCATAGGCCCCGAGCACAGGTCCAGAAGGGAAGCCAGCCAGAGTGGGGTAGGGCTGTGTCATTCTGACCATAAGTTCTCAAGAGTGCATGGGTGTGTGTGTGTGTGTGTGTGTGCGCACGTGTGTGTGTGTCTGCAATGCTTGAGTCACAGAGCAACGTCAGATCAGAGATGGGCAGCCCCTGCTTTGCAACTTTCTTAACGTATCTGAGACTTTGTCTGAATATTTACCTGGAAATTTGAATCGACTTTAATTAAAAAGAAGTTCGTGCTGTTGAGTCACGGAACAACGTCAGATCAGAGATGGGCAACCCCTGCTTTGCAACTTTCTTCAACGTATCTGAGACTTTGTCTGAATATTTACCTGGAAATTTGAATCGACTTTAATTAAAAAGAAGTTCGTGCTGTGGAAGCTGCTCCAGATGGCTGGAGGCGATGCCATGTTGGACTCCAGCTTGCCCAGGAGCGCTTGGATTAGAGCAGAGGCCGAGCATGTTTGCTGTAGCGTTGGGTCCGTTAGCTCTGTTATGTTATGAGTTTCTGCAGCCAGTTTGCATGGAGTAAGACACCCAAGCAGAACGGAAAAGAAATATGGAAGAAATGATACTGGGCAATTTCCATGATGGGCAACGGCCATCGAAGCAT